AAACACTGCACTGATGTATGTATTATATTAAATTATATTATTTACAAGGTGATTTTTTTTTTTTTTTTTAACTATAAACACTCGTTATTTTTAAAAAATTAGTATTTTTATCTCAAAAGTATGTGTTGGACATTTATAATTTATAACATCTAAGAATAAAACAAAATAACATAAAGAAAATTTTTAAAAACCGTTTCACGAGCTTAGTGGAACTTATAAATGTTATAATTCTGCCAAATATTATTACGAATATAATTTAAGTAAAAATTGCTTTTTTTCAGGTTTAAAATATTATATTGTATAATTGGATTCAGACACGTATTTTTAGTGTGCAAAATATACAACGTGATGTTTTTAAAATTGAAGTAAATTTAAAGTGTACTCACATTATACCAATATAATATACATATACTTAAGTATAACACATTTGATCTTGTTATGTCTAAGAGAAATAAAATATTTCATGGTGCATAATGCGTTAGGATGAGATGTGCTGTTACTATAGAACACAATTTCGATACGAGTCGTGCTTTTATGATTAATTATATCTAGCAAAATATTCCAAATATTTTTAAAACAATTATGAAAATCATAAAAATATTAAAACAAATTAATAGTTTATTCTATGGGATTATCGGATTCGCGTATGACAATAACTAAAAATAATGAATAAATCCAATTTAACTTGTCTTAAGTCTGTAATACTACATTTTAAAACCAGTAAAATAAAGTAAATTTTTGCACTTTAAACAAAAAGGATATAAAAATAACTCAAAGTTTAAAGTATAGATAAAGGATCTATGATTCTCCTTATCAATAATTATATCTTATGTAAATTCGTGAATAAACGTATGCATATAAATTAATGTTCAATATTATTCCTATTAATTTGTGTATGATGATTCTAAGTAATTAGCAGTATTGTGTCCTTATCAAATATTAGTATAAAAAATAATAATATTCCAGATTTTTAGTATTGAGAATTTTTTTTCTAAAATAACAGTTTTTATTTTGTAACAAAAATATAACTTATAAGCACATAACGATATACGTAATAATAACCTAACTTAATATTGTCAATCTAGTTAAATGGTTTTAAGAATCTAGTCAATTTATGTATTTTAATCTTTTATTAATTTTTTAGTAATTAGTAAAAGAAAATGGAAATATCGTTGTATTTATTGATTAAAGTTTTATGGAATATTCGTAGTTAAATTTTTTTTTTAATGATCGGTAGTATAATTTACTGTCATTGCCTGGTTTTCAAGCCAGTATTTATTGAACCTAATATTATTTAACATTATAATTATAAAATCAATATTAATAACAATTTGGAAGAATAAAATGTTATAACCGTATGCTTAGGTTCCTCGTCTGGATTATAACTGTCATTATTAACTAATATGCGTATGTTTAAAGGTAGTTTATCATTATCGCTTATTAACTATCATAATTTATTAATAAAATCTATAACGCAGTGCATTGTATAATAACATATAATAATTTGAAAACCCTTTGGCTCTTAATAAATATTATATTATAATTAACATTATGTTTTCGATGAAAATTATTATAAACTACATTTTAATTTTATTTTTATGCTTAAAAAATATTAATCTATATTCAAACACATAATATTAATTAAAATTAATTTTATTATAATATAATACTATATACTTACCTCTTATTAAAAACCAATAATTTTATGACTTAGGTACTTAAGAAGTTAAAGTAAGTAGTTTAGGTTCCAAAATTTACTTAAATTATACATTAAGTCCCTCCCTTCGACAGGATTTGCCTTAATATGGTAGCCGAGAGTCCATAGGCTTTTCAATAGGTCAGTGACAAAAAGGTTTTGATCCGGATGTTATTTTAATTAGCTAGAGCCGTAAAGGCTTGGTCCACTCGCATGTATTTTGTAAACGGTCTCAGAAGAACACTGTTAACCTCCTGGCAGTAACATAAAAAATCCAGTAAAGGAAATCACTCTAAAAACTAAATGAACGTTGATACTTGATAACATGAATATCGTGATCGTATCAGGGAATTTGGAGAACCAGATGCCGGCAACTGGGAGTGAGAAAGCTAGCTCCTGGTTATCATTATCCAGTGATTGCAGAATTACGGGGGTGGTAAGCGAGGTCCTATTAGTCTTGTTGCTACTAGTGCTGCGACGAAACAGCCTGTAAAGACAGTCGCATCTCAAGCGGGTACGCAACAAAGAAATCAAGACCATCAGTCGTTTGGGAAAACGAGAAACTAGCTTATGATTATAATAATTAATAGCAGCCAATGAGCTTAAAGATCGGGTGAACTTCAACACGCTGGGTATAATTTTCTTTTCCAAAAGATCAACCGATTGTTAGCTGTAAAAACGTTAAAAAATATAAAAGTATATTAGTATATAGTTAATATTAATATAACTATGCAGGCGCTATACGTTTATACAATATTATATCACAGTGTCACGCATATTACTGACAAAATATATAATAATAGTGAAAAATTATTACGTTATTATTTTTTAGGGTCTCTTGTCAATTACACTGTATTTAACGTGTATATCATCTAACCGTTTTTTGACATATTATACATGATACATATATGTACGTGTGTAGAAGCCAGAAGGTGATTCATTTTAAGTCTACATCTAGGTGCGCGCTCAATATTATGAAAAGTTTTGATGTTACATTTTATATAACTTGATGCACTGTAAAAGATTATTTTTATTGTTTCATTTTATCATTTTTCTTTTTTTTCAAGAAAATTTAAATTTAAATACTTGATTTCACATTCAAGATATTATATTATGCGGTTTTTAAACAACGTCAGAGTATATAAAAAATAAATGGTTTTCATAACAAGTCGAGGATTCGAAAACAGTCAAAAAAGACATTTAAATGAATCACCTTGTTTAATACGCAATACTAACAAAGTTACTAAGGCCCTTCAAGTGTGATTTCGACCATATTTGCATAATTATCAGCTCATACCTATTAATTATTACGTGCATTTCGTTCAAACCGAAACGGTAGTGATCGATGTCGGGACTACAAAATTATCCGAGTACATTATACTGCATGTAATCGTATTTATATATAATAATATACGCCTATATCACCCATAGGTACACCTGCAAAAAGTCGTAATCCGAACAGTTACAACGGTTTAACAATATAAGTACATAATGCATATTATATTATTGCGTACCTACATAAAAGTGTAATATATATAATTGTGGTTATTAGCATTTTTTTTTTTTTTTTGCAGTTTGTAGTTTGCGTATTTATACGCATTATATTATTTTTGTAAAAAATACGTGACGCGTGTACCAAAATACACATACATTCGTATTATATTTTATATCTACGAGTAAAACAGATAGTAACACAACCACTGCGAAAGATATCATATTTTTTATGTGTTTTATCTACGTGTAAAAATATACCTTATTAGACACAACATTTTCTTGTTTCTTGGAATATACAATATTTTCTATTCAGTTTTTTAATATTGTCATAACTACGATAAATGTAATCAAACAAAACGTAAAGGAAATCGATTTCCAGCTGTAATGTGAAAGTGTGTGTATCATCAATTCCCATACTTAATATGATATAGTAGTTATTTATTTTTAAAATGAAAACAACATTTATATATCTAGGGTATAGTAAGCATAAACTATTTAAATATAGATAATATTACCTAATAATATTAGTACTATGATTCTTGAGTTCCTCTGATTAGGAAAATATTTTTTCGATGTATAATATGAATGATGCATCCACAATATTTCACGACGCTAAAGACGCATTCTTAATACTATTAACAAATATTATGTTCTTACTTGTTAAACTTTTCACCCTTCAAATTTAATATTTTTATTTCAACTGTTTTAAAATGTATAGGTTATACATTTTTTTTAAATATTATTACTAGTACTATTATATTTTAATCTAATTTTTAAAGCAATAATTGTTGTTAAAGCTCGGCCTATAAATAATAAATAAATAATAATATAAAGTAAAAATAAAATTCACAAAGGTATTTTCCTTATTGTTTTTTGTCATTATCAAAACATATTTTGTTTTATAAAAAGAGAAATAGTTTTAATTTTAAGATAAAAAAAACTATTTATAGTTACGGTATGACTAGAAAACTATTTAACTTTTTCTGTTTAGAATTTTTGTAAAAAAAAAAAAAAATCAACACTAAAATTGTTGTCTTTAATACTCGTAATTCATTGATTTTACTTAATTTTTAGTAATTTTCGTTTTCCTATTCGTGAGATCTCGGTTTAAGTGAAAACATAAAGTATATGTTTTTTTCTATTTTTACAACTATTTGAACTTTATGAATACATTAACTAAAAACATCAAATATATATATTAAGATTTACTCACACTTTTTCAACTGGAGTAGTGGATAAACTTGACAGGAAAAGTAATATTCCAGGAAGTCCCCCGTCTATACATATGTATGCCTAAAGTTATTATAGTTTTTAGTTTTCTTTAAGAAATATCATTTTTATAAAATATAACATATTATGTACAGACATATTCGTTCAATTCTATAGAGCACTTTGAGGATGGTATCAATGTTTTATAATATTATTATATAAAGTAACAGTTAAAAAAATATTTTTAAAACCTGGATTTTTAGCCATTAAATTATTTACCAGATTTATTAGCTGAATAAATTACTTAGGAAATCAATATTTTAAATTAATTAGTGGTATTTTGAGCGTGATTTTATTTATCAGATATTATGATTATTATTATCTAGAAATGATGGGCGATTGGAATAAGTTTATACATAGATAAGTAACATATATTATAATTTAATTCGAGGTTTCGATAATTACATTGACATTGAAATGTTTATTTTAAATTATAAATGATTAAAAGATATTGAGGTAATAATTAGTATCTTAACCTTTTTTTTTTTTTATTATTATTTTATTCAATTTTCGTCTTCGGAACTCAGTCGCCGACGCTCACTTAGTCACCATCCTTGTGCGACAACCGGTGCTCCTTTAGTACGTCGAGGTTACCGAACACCTTTTCGCATATATAACACCTGTATCGCCTGTGTGTCCAGCCATGATTAAGTAGCGTGCCTTTGGCGGCAAACGACATGTAGCAAAAGTCGCACTTAAAGGGCCTCTCACCCGTGTGCGTCCGCCGGTGATTGGTCAGAGTCGTGCTGACCGCGAACGTCTTGAAGCAAAACTCGCACTTGTACGGCTTCTCGCCCGTGTGAATCCTTAAGTGCTTGGTCAAACTGCCCTGCTGAGTGAACGCCATGCTGCAAAATGTACAAGAGTATGGTTTCTCACCGGTGTGTATCCGGTAATGCACTGTCAGAGCCGTTTTTGTGGCCAACGACATGTTGCACATGCGGCACGGGAACGGGTTTTGGCCCAAGTGCGTCCTGCGGTGGTTTGTCAAAATTGTCTTGGTGGCGAACGACTCGTCGCACTCGTGGCACACGAACTGCTTCTTCCTGAGGTGTCTCCAAAGGTGGCAAGTCAGAGTGCTCTTGACGGAAAATAACTTGCCACAGATTTCGCACAGATACGGTCTTTCGCCCGTGTGCTTACGCAGGTGCACGCGCAGAGTTGATGAAGTGGTGAACGATTTGGCACACAACTTACACGCGAATGGTTTCTCGCCCGTATGCGTTCGTTGGTGTATTTTCAGATTTCCGTTTTGTGTGAACATCTTGTTACACGTTGTGCACTTAAAACGTTTGTCTCTCGAGAGCCGTGTGTAGCTATTGACGGCCACGTTGCTCATTTCGTATGATTACCTGTCCTGCTACTATAACATCGTCATGCGTCACACCTGTAACATTTTTACCATGTACAAGACTATAACATTATTAAAGTAAGTCGTCTAAGGAATTTTTTTTTCCGTGGTTGAGTAACCTTGTCGATTGGAAATTATTGTTGTTTAAAAAGAATTTGACTTTATAGACAGCGTTTGACAAGTATAATTTTTGTTTTTAGAGCCATACACACAGAGAAGGGGGGTTAAACCCCCATAACAACATGGGAAATATATTAATGTATTTTAAAAATTTAAAACTACTAATAAATTATATATTTTTTAATTTCAATCAATAATAGTAATAGACATTTATGATGTTATCGGTTGTTATTATAGTATTTCGTGTACCGTTTAAAGGTCGTTCTGACAAATCACCATCACAGTAATGGTTGAATTACGATGACAATTGATTAGACCGTGATTTAAAATATATTTAAAACCGTTAAATCAACCACGGTCCACGATTATTATTTATTATATTATGTAGCACAGTGGTTCTTAACCTTTTGTAGACCACGGACCCCTGATTAAAGATTTTTAGAAATGATGGACCCCCTAACCAATTTATTTCGATTACCTTTCTTTTACAATATGTCACGTATTGACATATGATATGTGTTAAGGCTGCCACGTGAATCCCTGATACTCATATCGCGGACCCCCAGGGGGCTACGAACCAAAGGTTAAGACCTTTTATGTAACATAATGATTAAATTAGCAAAAAATTAAAAAAGTTTATCATAACAAATTATGTTATTAAAGTTTCCGACGTTAGAGATGCTGGCAGTAAAATTATTGCTTGGTAAAAATATAAATAATGTGTTATTTTTTCTTAATTAACTATGATATAATATTATTATAATAACTCCCACCCATTACATACAATTCTTGTCTACGGCACCGGTTATTTCAATATTAGATTGTTTCATCAAAATTAATCTAAAGAAAATTAATAACTCTAAACGTGGATCTAAGAAAACAATTTTTAGTACTTTTCGAAATAACTGGGGAAAAAATAAGATAAATTTGGACATTTTACGTAAAACCAATATTAGACAAAATAGTCAAAATAGATTTTGTTTTTTTTTAACTCAAAAATAAATAATTTTTAATACTTTAAATTATGATAACATTTTAATATATTTTTCAAAATATTTAGACTCTTTTTTAGTTATTTATAGATAATATCAATTTTTGATCTTTGTATTTTATTTTTTTAAATACCAATAAAAAAAAAAAAAATAAATAAAATAAGATTGAGTAAAAATGGTTAAGCATTTAATAACGCAAGATTATTTAATACTAAGTTTCTATTAAATTTTTAGTTTATTAAAAAAAACTATTTAAAATGTATTTTAATTTACATTGCTTTATAAATTATAATCATTTAAAGTTGGAATCTAATTTATTTTATATCATTTAATTTTAATTTTATTATTATGAGTATGTTATCAACCATTTAATTTGATTAAAAAAGTAAAATGTAAATATATTTATTTTATAATTGTTTTTAATTATTGAATTGACTAATTATACCTGTATATTACACTTGGTTATGAGCAAGTTAATTTTTTTAATATGATATTTGTTTTACAGAATGTAATGCTTTTTATATTATCAATGTTAAATTAGTTTATAAGGAAAATGTTTATAATATTATTTTAACGGGTTTTTAATAAATACATTTTATATTAAAACTTTTTTTTTTTTAAATTTTAATTAGCGTTAATAATGTTGTGAAAATTTGCAGCTTAAAAAACCTAATGTTGTGATGAACATTAAATTTGTAATTAATTAAAAATAGAAAAAAACAATAATTTAAATTTGAAATAAATAAATGAAATAAAATAATATCGTCAAAAAAATGAAATAATAATGAACATCATAGAAAATAATAAAATATTATATATTTATAGTTAAGTTAATTTTTAATTTAACCCAAAAATTCTACTACCCACTTTTTATTAAATAAGGATTATATTTTTATTTTAAGTAATATAAATAAGATAATACTGTATTAAACATATTCTTACCGTTATATGTTTATGTATTATGAAAATCAGTTATTGTTCTTTGCACATTTATTCACAAAATGTTTTACAAGAGTACAAATTAAACTAAACACAAAAACTAACAAGACTTAAAAAAATAGGCTATTGTCAAGTCACTAAATCGAATAAAAATATTGAAAATAATTTGCACTGTCCTGTATCACACAGAACGCAATAGATTTTTATTAAATCCGTTCAGATCCCGTTTGCCCTTCCACTCGATTTTTGTTGCTAATAATCAACTGTCAATTTATCGAGTACATAATCTTATATTGATTGATATAATAAAATGATGATCTGAAAACGCTCGTTTTGTGCTCATTAGCCGTATCCATTCTGCCGCACGGAGTCAATTTTATATAAATTCATGATAGATAAAGTTTTGAACCGATGAGTCACAACTAAGCATTATTTGTTTAGTGGAATGAGTTTTTACAGATATTATTATCAACTATGCTATTGGAGATATCTTAATCTGAATTTAATTACCAGGATAAGTTTTATTAAATCATTTTACATGATAAAATAGAATTAACAAATTATGATGGTAATAATAATAATAATAAAATTAATATACATATTATAATAATGATATTAATATTAACATTATACATGTAATAATTACATAGAACTTAATTTCAATCACTGTTTATGCTATGATAGGGGAAGGGGGTCGATACGTCTTTAATAATAATTTCAAAATACATGTTGTTTTAATTTTATGGACAATTTAAAATTTCTAAAACACATAATAGTATAAGCAATAAAATTAATTTTTATTTAATAAAACTACTTTTTTCTATATACTATTATGTTCTTGTATTTTTAATTAGCAAGTTGTTTTATAATATTTCAATTGATTTTTAATAAATGCATTCTGGAATCTTTTATTTATATTAAACAATTTTATTAGGAATTAATGCGGTATATTTTGTTTCCCAGTGAAAATATTTTATGTTATATTTTAACTTCGGTGTATAATATTTAATAAGTAAAACGTATTATTATAATTATATTTAAGAGTAAACAAAATTTTGTTTGCTGTTAATGATCCTACAAAAACTTTCAGTTTACAGCAATGACTTGTGATTAGAGTAATAAAATAATAATGTCAAATAAATAAGATAATAATTATGAATGTGATACTGTGATAATATAGAAACGTATTATTAAGTTAATGTATAATTCAAACTAATCGAATATTTATTTTTACTTGAGAAATGAATTAAAAAAAGATAGTATTGTTATATTCTTGCCGTTAAGAGTACCTACAAATAGTAGCTCTTATATATAACAATTGTTCTTTATACCAATATATCATAAAATATTTTTCCCATAAAAGAATACATTTTACAAAATACAAACATAAGACACAAAAATTAACAAGACTGTTATCAGGTAGTCGAACAAAAATATTGAGCATGCACTATGAGTGACCCTCAAGTTGCGACCAATTTTTGGTCGGTTTAGTCAGGTTACAGCCCCCCTCCGTTTTCCAACCTCGTAATCTTAGCTGCAAAATATAGACTGTTGGAATAATAAATTGACGCTCCCGATACCTTCTTCCTAAATGCGGATTAATTACATCTATCTGTTACAGCATGTGATCACTGTAGTATGAAACTATACTTAGCCCATTGTTCTTTGATTTTTAAATTAAGAATAAAAATTTAAATTTCATCAATTTAGAGTTCATTTTTAATTTATTTTAAAATTTTTATTTTTAGAAACGTTATTAAAAATTGAATTTTAATACGATCAGTAAACATTTTCCCTTTTTTCGACAAAAATATATTTAAATCAAACAAGGCATTAGAGATTTTCCTGCAATGTGTGTTTTGAGCATAAAACCACTTACATATTTTTTATCTAAACAGTATCGTTGACATGAGTGTGCATGTGCGTAGAAGCAAGGCCGTATCAGATGGGTGGGGGAGGGTCCAAGGGGTCCAGACCCGTCCGGTCTCTCCCTCCCCTCATAACTTTCTTAAATAACTTAAAAAGGTGTTAAATTATTATTTATTTCTAATACCAACATAAATGGTTAAAATTACAATCTATTAAATTGATTATTGACTGTTTTGTATTGTTATATTTGTTTAACATCTAATAAAAGATTATTATTGATCAACATCGAACGCTATCAATGCCGGTCAACGTCTCGACGGTCGACAACGATTAATGACAACAAAATTATAATTTATATTTATTTTTTGTAAATTATAAAATTTTAAATCGACCGAATAAAAACAATTTCAATTTTAATAAATAATACATTTTTGCGATTCATTAGAGTACATAAAACCATTTATAAATATTCAAATATTTATTATTGGTAACTTTTTGAATACATTTAGTATTATTATATTAATATTTATAATATTTTGGTTTATTTTGAAATCAATACTTTTACATACCTACTTATACGTGTTATGAACAAGATTAAAATAATATGGGTATAAATTTATCTAATAAACATCGATTACAACATTTATTTTATAATCATATAAATCAATAAATAAATTTTATTGTTAGTAGTTTGCTCCATTATTTTCAACGCATAATTGATAACATTGTAGACATCCTCTATCGGTTGCTGGTATTTGATTTTCAGTAAGGTTATTACATGCTAGCATGATTTTATCTTTTTAATCTACTAGATTAACCGATGGATCTTTGTATTGTTTTCAAATATCCCCATAAAAAAAAAGTACGTAAAAATATACTAAAAGTTACCGATGATAAACAATTATAAATAGGTTTTATGCACTTTAATGAATCGTTAAAATATATTATTCATTAAAATTGAAAAGGTTTTTATTCAGTCGATTTTTAATTTAGAATCATAGTTGGTACATCAAAGTTATCTTAAATAACTAGTTCTATCCGAGTATGGTATTCAAAATAGATGACAAT